CTGGATGACAGGCAAACAACTAAGCCACACCAGTCAGGGCATTTCTTGTACTCTTGTTTGAAGAAACCTTTCCTCCAAGTTACAGTAAAGGGGAAAAATAAAATGAAAGCAATAAAAACCCTCAAATGGCATTAAGCAATGACAATTTTCATGTTGCTTTATTTTTTTATTTCTTGATTTTAAAAAGAGAGGAAGAAGGAATGAAAACAGGAGAGAGAGAAAGACATCAATTAGTTGTTCCACTTACATGCATTGATTGGCTGCTTCTTGAATGTGCTCTGACCCAAAACCTGAAACCTTGGTGTATCAGGACAATGCTCTAACCACCTGAGCTACCTGGCCAGAGCCATGTTGCTTTGTTTAAAATCAAGGTAAACTACCTACTTCCCTGATAATATTGTACTGATATTATATGAAAAATAGGAATTCTTAAACCTAAAATATTAAAAACAATCATCAGTGCCATGTGAGATAAATAACTACTATTGGTCAATGTTTAAAAAATAATTTCAGCCCTGGCTGGTGTGGCTTAGTGGATTGAGTGCTGGCCCACGAACCAAAAGGTCGCCAGTTAGATTCCCAGTCTCGGGCTCATCCCTGGGTTGCAGGCCAGGTACCCAGTAGGGGGCATGCAAGAAGCAACCACATATTGATGTTTCTCTCCCTCTCCCCTCTAAAAATACATAAATTAAATCTTTAAAAAATTATTTCAATTATGTTATTTTTAAGATATATTTTATATTTAGTAGTAAATATCCCCAATTATTTAAAGTCTAGTCTGGTTTAGGTACAACAAAAGTTATTAAATTTTATTATTTGTTGTCTTATTTTTTCTTTATGTACTCACATGTTACTAAAAAATAATGACACTTATCCCAAAATGTTCAAAATGCTATCTCTGTGTACAAATTTGGGTACATTTCAAAACTCACATGAAAGCCACTGTTCACAGCTAAGATAATATTACTGGAAAGAATGAGTAACAGCCATAAATTTGGCTCATTCCTAACCTTGACTTCTTGGATGGTGATGTGCATAAAAAAGAACAAAAGCAACAACTCAAAACCCAAAGAAAACAATTCTCTGATGTTTTGTTTGGACATATATTTCAGATATGGAAAAGAAATCCTTTTTATCAAAAAAAACCAAACTTAATAAAAGGCAAAATAGTCAACAGCAACAAGTTTGAGCCAATTAAAAAATTTAAAACTTATTTTTTAAGCAGAGCATTATGTGGGAGGATAGCCAGTAAAAATTCCATGACTTTGTGCCTTTCAGTGTGAGTCACAAGTCTAATGGCAGATAAACTGTTCAGCTTTAGAATGGAACAGACTGTTAGTCTTCCTGGCTGTCTTCAAGCACTCCTCCGTATCTGGCCCAGCTCTCTCCTGCCACACTAGCAGGGTCCCAGCATGCTCACCAGTATGATCATCCATCCTTTCTTAGCACCCCTGTCTTTATTTACTGTTTAAGATAAAACCTGAGGCCACATGTCTGTCTTGGCAAAAGGCACAGTGGAAGCAGGGAATCTCTGCACTATTGATCCTTGCCAAACATCATTATTTTTATAGATTAGAAAACCGAAGCTCAACTAGGCTTTAAATCATGCTCAGCATCACAGATGACATTTCAGAGATGGAAATTGTAAGGTAATCTCTGAAACCATTGAGACACTTCTCCATGTACCTTTTATATTTCCACACATTGTGCAAACAGAGGCGTTGGCAATCTTTGTTCTGAACTATCTTTCCAAGGATATTTATATAGCAGATAGCCTTGAAATATAGAGGTGGTGTCTGACTCCAGAGCAAAGAGAAGATATTGTCCAATATAACAAAAATAATGTCTCCCTCTGGGGCAAAGGGCAGACATGTTCATTGCTTAGTATAAAATAGTCAAGTCCCTAAGCTAGGAGTTCCTCTCTTGAACCGAAAACCACTAAGTATACAAGTGTCATCCATGCTCTTCACATCAGCCCTCTGGGAACTGGGCTGCAGTGAAGTGGTGCAGATGCTGAGAGTCCGACTGCAGCTATTGCTGTAAATAATAGAATCATTTGTCTCTGACCCAGGAGTCTCAGAGTCTCATGTCTCCTGCCAGGATCCATGAAGCTGTGGGAGGCTGACTTGTGAGCTTGGGAGTAGGAAGAAATCTCAGACTATTCACACTTTTTGACAGAAACATAAAATTTTAGGGATAATTGATCATGTAAAAAATACCTAATGAGAGGTCTTTTCCCTGATTTTTCAAATCTTGAATGATCCACTTACAATTTTTTAACATTATATATTACCTATAGTATATAATATTATAGATTAGATTAGTTATTATAATATCCAATCAAATTACACACAATATCTACTTTATTTTTTAAATTTAATTTATGAAATGATGCCATTATCCTCACATTACAGATTAAAAAAAAACATCAAAAGTCGAGTTGCAGAGCTAATAGGTAGCAGAGCTAAACTCTCTGCTTTCAAATTTGTGTTTTACCTACCTCCAAATAAAACACGGTTTAAAATGGCATGGGCCATTTTAGTTTTAAATAAAATGGTTAAATTATACAGTATTGTGTTTAGTTTTACTCTCTTACTTTTTTAATGGTACTATATGTTTAGGCAGTGACATGCTGCTATCTAATATGTATTTAATATTAACTATTTAGTATTCACAACAGATAAAATGCTCCTAATCTTATAATTGCTGAATTTATATTATATTATTATATAGTTACAGAAAAAGTCTACCACAAAAAGCTATGGTTTATAAGGTTTAAATCCTAAAACAATGCTGTAGATATATTCTATTAAAGCTACACAGCTAAGAAAACATGACAGGAGAAATAATTCCATTTAAAAGGCTATATAACCTGTAAAAATATCCTATTAGTCCCAGATATAAATAAAAAATAACACACTAGACAGAGTGGAGAAAGGACATTTATCTAGAACTTACAGATGTTCTAAAGAATAAAAAATCCTCAAAGTAAAAGGAAACAAAAAAGTTCTTAGTTCTATGGAAGCAAATATAAACTATAAACTTATAAACTGGTAATCCACTTCTCACCAAAAATGGGTGCTCATTCCTATAACTCTATTCTGCTAATTCTAATGCTAAGCTTAAAGTCCCAAGTCCACCACTTTGAAATATAAATAGCAAGACAACATAAAATGCCTATAAAACATAAAATCTGTAGGCACTTTTCAAAATGTAAATATTTTTTTTCAAATTGCCTTAACTGTATTTCCAGGTACTTATTAGAAGTGTACTAGTGAAAGTAATTATTTTACTTGCTTCTAACAGTAACATGACTTCTTTTTTATAAAATAAGGAACTATCCAGCTGACATTCACAAAAACAAAACAATGTAAAGATTATAGAGTCAGGTACAATTATGATGTAAAACAGTAACTACAGAACCAAGTTTATACAGCTATCATTTACTAGACGAGTATCTTAAGTCAAAAGTTAATTAATGCCCTGGCTGGTATAGCTCAGTGGATTGAGCGCTGGCCTGTGAACCGAAGGGTCACTGGTTCGATTCTCAGTCAGGGCACATGCCTGGGTTGTGAGCCAAGTCAGGTCCCCAGTTGGGGGCATGCGAGAGGCAACCACACATTTATATTTCTCTCCCTCTCTTTTTCCCTCCCTTCTCCTCTGTCTAAAATAAGTAAAAAGAAAATCTTAGAAAAAGAAGTTTAATTGCTAATTCGTTTCAATTTATTTTAATTCTTGGTAAATAACAGTAAGAAAACTGTGGTCTTCATAATGGAACATAACCACTGTTGTTAATATTTGGTGTGAAAGCAGGTACCTCATGAGAAAGCTGATGGGTTGAAATATTAGTTTTCTGATTCCATTTGGACACTAATTAATTTTTGAAATAATTAAAGCTATGTGGATCTAAATTGTAATCTATGTGGATCTAATTGTAAATTATATAGTAAAAAGCTTCCTAAGGGCATACCTATTAAACATTAAATGGATTTTAAACAAGAAACCTGAAGAAACTTACACTGATAAGTTTTAAAATAGGATATAATATCATCTATGAAGACTCACATAACATCTGATATTGTTTTTCCACTTGAGGAATCTATGAGTAATGAGATGGTAATTTTTATCCCAAACTTCTAATGTTGTCAAGATATAAAATTTACTAATTTAGCATCCTGTCTTAAAAACACAGACAAATTGAGAGGATTTTAAAAAGAAGAAACATATTTCTTAGGGTCAGAATCACTTAATCATGAAGAAAAAAATTTTTTAAATGCCAACTTTTCTTTAATTAAGAAGTACTATAATAAAAAGCAGCAAGGGCATTAAAGACAAACATATAGAAAGAAAAGGCATATTTATCTAGAAAGATAGAAAGCAAAACTAAAAGAAAGAATATTAATGTTGTACTCGTATTTCTTATTATTGAGTTCCTCCCACTGGCAAAACTTTGTGGATTCTAAAAAATTTTTTTCACTAAATAGTATATTATAAATAACTTTTAGGTCATATTTATACAGATCTAGATCATCATCCTTTTTTTTTAATTAAAAAAAATTTATTTAGTTATTTTTCAAGTACAGTTTTGGTGGGAGCACAGGGCGGGAGAGGCTGGAATGGGATTCTAAAAGATTTGTGATAGTGAAATTTGTAGACAAAGGAGCTCAATATGGCTGGTGTAGCTCAGTGAATTGAGCGCAGGCCTGTGAACCAGAGTATCGCAGTTCAATTCCCAGTCAGGGCATATGCCTGGGTTGCAGGCCAGCTCCCAGCAGGAGACACACGAGAGGCCACCATACATTGATATTTCTCTCCCTCTCTCCTTCCCTTCCCCTCTAAAGATAAATAAATAAAATGTTTAAAAAAAAGATTTGTGACAGTGAAATTTGTAGACAAAGGAACTCAATATGCAGACCTGAGATCTCATCTGTCAGAGGGCACCTCTAAAGAAGCCTACATATCTCACACATTTATGCATGAAGAAGCAAACAAAAGATTACCTGGAAATCTTGTAATTATTTGACATAATCCTTCCTTTCTGCAAAGCTGATGCTGTATTTCTGGTAATATGTTTACCTGAAAGAAATGAAAAAGATTCTAGTGAGTTGGGCATTTATAAATGCTAAACTCAAAGCAAAGGAAACACAGGTGTGAAGGTATATAGATGTGATACACCACCATACCCTACTCTTAAACATCTGCAAGTCAGCACTTAGATCCAGTATAATAAAGTGGTCTATTTGGTAACATAAAATTAAAGCCTTTCTTTTAGAAATCTTCAGAAATATTTGGGAATACTTTTGGAAAACCTTGCTATATTTCAAAGCCATATTTGCTAGAAAAAAAGGAGACTATGTTCTTACAGGAAATAGCATAACACAAGTAACTTCATAGTTTCAAATTTAGCTTTGGCAAAAAATAGTACAAACATACCTCAAAGTCAGCTAAAGTCCAAAGTTCCAAAAGCACTCAGTGATTTGAGTCACAAAGATTTACTGGAAATTCAGTGCTAAGCCTGTTTCAAAACTTCATGATAGTTTTCACTTTGTACTGAAGGGCATTATTGCTTCCAAACATAAAGCCTAGTCATCAGAAAACTCTATTTTCACAAAAATTTGTTCTTAAAAAATCCTCATAAATGTTATCCCAAATCCATGTATATATACTTTAACTTATAAAGATACAAACAAGGTAATTCTCTCCTCTTATGAATTTACAGATTGATTACCTAGCTACTATCAGCAAAATCTCAAAAATAATTCCAGATGTGGTAAAGCATTCTTAAAACCAACAAAAAGGAATCAGTGTTAATTTGAGTATCAGAGTTATTTTTGAACTGTTATTAATTACTTTCAAATTAATTCACTCTAAACTAATAAAATACTGTACTTTCTCTACTGTGTCCTGCTGGCTTGATTAGATAAAAACAACTCAGTTTCTGTTGGCAAAACACAAGGGAACCAGAAACATATGTTGTGGTCCCACTTCTCACCCTTAACAGAAAGGTAACCCTGAGCAAATCACGTGACCTCTCTCGCTTTTTCCGTTTGTCAAATAAAGCAGATAGAGCCTTTGGTCTTCAAGTTCCACTTCTGCTCTAAGATTTTATCAATTCAATATTTCAATCATAGTTTTAGTTCATTTCTTTTATTAATGGTTTATTTAAAGTGCTTTGAAACACTGCAGCAATTAGATATTTTCCAATGCTTACAGTCCTGTTAGCCACTCTTCATTTGCTCAGTAAACCATCAACTTCAGCTCAGGTAGTGAAGCCCACACTTCAGCAGAACCCACTCTGTGAATCTGCACCAGCAACATTCCTAAACATCCCATTTAAAAGTCTACAAAGATACCAAAGTCTGAGCCACTTACATTCTTATTGCACTGGGAACTGAGAAAAGACCATAAGTGTAGTGCACATTAGATTTTAGAGATGTCTACATTTCTAAAATTTGAAAGTAAGACAGTTCAAAGACTAAATATAGGAAAAGAAAGGTTTTCATAAAGTCCTGAAGTTTTCTATTTAGAATTCCTAGTGTAACAGGGTGCAGCCAGAGCCCACCAATGGGGGGATTTATAACAGGGTCCAGAACTTGGGGTGTCCAGGAATATAGGATATCCCCACCTCAACAAGCCTGGCTAGGGGACAGGGCCACTGAGTTAATTTGCACATGAACAGCAGGCTACCTAGGGAGATGGACGTGACTTTGACCCATGATGTAGCTAGGAGGCAGCTCTCCATGGTTACAGCACTTGCTTTAAAGCTTGGAGATGACTCACTCCATGCCAAGGGGCCATGCCTACCCAAACTTACTATGGCAGCCAAGAAAGGAAAAAACTTTGGGAGTGTTGGCAGGTGTAGCCGATTGTGGAAAGAGTCAGAAATGGGGTTACAGATGAAGATTCACACTGGGTACTTAAACCCAGGTGTGGCAGCCATGCAGGGGTTTTAACCATGTGGTTTGGGGAGTAGAGGGGGGCTCCCTTGACCATGCAGTTTAGGAAGCAGGAAAGCAAGATGTAGCAGCCATGCGGAGCTCTCAGCAGTTTGAAAGGATGCAGAAGAGATGATGCCGGACTAGATGGAAGGACAATACAAGACTGAGTGGGAAGAAAAGGGATAAAAGGACTATTGATGGTGGGCCATGAGGAGGTGCCACAGGGCTTTGGATTAAGAACTGGAGATCACTCTGGCAACAGAGCTGATGGTGCTGGGGACTGAGGGAGACTGCCCAGCTGAGCACAGATTACTGGGAATAACCAGGAGTCTAGCTGAGTTATGTACTTCCATGTCTTTTTCCTGACATGTGGTACCTCTGACTGGCATGGTTGAGCAAAGGGCAGAAGACAGGACTGTTTGTGTGTTTGTGGGTGTTTTAAAAGGATTTGGGGATTTTAATGGTGACATTCCACCATTACTCTAAGCCTGTATAACTTTTGAATAAATAGTTCCTTTCCTTTTTACCAAAGTCTGGCATTGAGAGCCACCGTTCCTAAGGGTGGCAGGAAAGATGAACAATAGTATAGAAAGACCCTGGGGAAGGGGGTTTGTTTTGGCAATGGTGGCTGGGCCCCCCACGACAGGTTCCTTTCTGTAAAACTAGCACAGCGTGGAGGTCAAGGACAGAACACTGCAAAAATATGGGTAACTCATAACAAAAGTTTGAATTTTTTACTTAACACACAAAAAAATCTTTCCAATGTAAAGCTTCAAAAGTCAGTAAACTTAAACCACTTTCCCCCATATAAGGCAAAATGATGCAGTTGCTGTTGACTAAATAGACTCTTTAATAATAGAAGGACCCCAAAAGAGAACCAGCATTAGGTAAGTAATGTTAAAGACCGTGCACTGGCACAGGTCCAGTTTAAAACCATCTCCCACTTCTTGAAAGGCTCAGAGCACACACGTTGTCACTGCAAAAGCTTAGAGCATCGGAGGCCCCAGCATCTGCTACAAACTGACAGGAACAAAAGATTCCTGACAACATGGGTAACAATAACTGAACTAATGAGCCAGGAAAATCTATGTAGATGCTTCACACACAATGCGCAACGTGCACAGGTTTCCCATAGAAGGGTAGGTTGCCATGTCTCATCAGAGAGATGACTTTTCGGTGGGGACCTTGGGGCAGAAGAATGAACTGACTCAGGGTCAACAAAGCACCTGCTTCAACACACTGGAGCCAAACCAAGGGAAGCAACTGCTCTTCCCTTTCCACCTTCTGTTTTCCCATCCCCCACCAATGACCTCTTCTGGTGCTCTTTCCTCCAAAGCGTGTCTTTGGAAATCAGAGTTGCAGCAGATGATGTAACAATGGAGGCACGTGGCACCAGAAACATTGTTTCCCCTCCTCTGGGACTGAGCTCCACACTATGCAGTTAAACAGAACAACTCAGCACAAAGAAACACCTGCAAGGGCTACGGGTCATACGGCTGTGACAGATCAACTGTATGACGCACACTTTAATTTTTTAATTGTTAAACCTAACAGCACTCTTCTGTATCTTAGTACTTTTTATTCTTATTTTTATGCGCATCATAAAATTCATCAGATTTGCATCATTATCAAGTGGAACATCGAAGAAGTTTTTACTTGGTTTAGCTGACTTTCATATGATGAGTGTTTCCAGCTTCACAGTGAAGTAATTATTGTTTATCAGGCTTTATTTTGAGGGGTAGTTGAGGTTAACAGCAAAATTGAGCAGAAGGCACAGAGATCTTTTATATCTTTGAAAGAATTAGAGTAAATATAAAAATGATAATGACATTTGAGCTTAGGATATTTCTGAGGTCAAACTGGGAGAAAGGAAATGTGCATTTGAAAAGATTTCAATCCCAGCATAACATCTAAAATCCTAAACTGCGATAATCTTCATCTAAATTACTTTCATTACATACTGTTAGAAGCAAAAGTAAAAAAATAATTCCTGCCCTGGCTGGTGTAGCTCAGTGGATTGAGCACGGGCCTGCGAACCAAAAGATCGCAGTTCGATTCCCAGTCAGGGCACATACCTGGGTTGCAGGCCAGTTCCCAGCAGGGGATGCACCAGAAACAACCACACATTGATATTTCTCTCCCTCTCTCCTTCCCTTCCCTTCCCTTCTAAAGATAAATAAATAAAATTTTAAAAAATAATTCCTATTTTGAGAACTTTAATAACAGCAACAATACAATATTAATGATAAATATTGAGAAAGTGTTTAAAAATAAAGCAAACTAAAACTACAGTAATTCATTAAAGAGAATAGACATTTAAAGTTAGACTACTTATAAAGTTTAAGAAAACACCCAAGAAGCCTTAACCAGTGTGGCTCAGTTGATTGGGCGTCATCCACACAAAGCAGAAGGTCACGGGTTTGATTCCCCGTCAGCATATATGCCTGGGTTGCAGGGTTGTCCTGGCCAATAGATGTTTCTCTCTCACCTATGTTTCTCACCCTCTCTTTCTCCCTCCTTTCCCCTCTTTCTAAAAATATATAATTATTTTAAAAGAGAAAAGAAGACACCCAAGTAAAAATAATGTTTTTAGTCACTTGTGAACATCGAGAGTGACTCACACTTCACATTGTATCTTGGGGACTGCTCTTGCTCTTCATTAGATATGCACAGACCCTCATATCTTTCATTTCACCAAAAATAAAAACTCTGACAGCTATTCATTATCATCCATAAGAAAGAATTAATGACAATAAGAGAAACAACTAATTCATCCCCCATGTCTCTAACATACAATCATCATTCCATCAACTTCACCTTGCACACTTTCAGACAGGAGCCATTTCCACAGTTCTCAGTGCTCCAAGCACTAAAAACTGCACCCTGGTTTTAGGGGCTGCTACAAACACTTAGAGCTAGAAATCAATCCCCCTGCTCTGGACACATTAGAACCTATCTGTTGGACGTGAGATACTCGCCTCCGTACCCCAGTTACTAAATTTAGTGCTACCCCAGGTAGTGGACCTCACTTCACTTTCAGCATCACATGGACCAACACAGTTTTAAGTTTATGTCACTCTCCTCCTGGCTAGAGAGACTCCTGACCATTCATTTTCTACAACAGATCTGAAGATAATTTTTATAAAGTACTTAAGTCCCAAAGCTCCAACATGATTAGTAATTTTAATTTGAATAGGTGCCCTTTCTTTGTTTATTCTACAGTCATTGACGATCCTACAACATCCTCAACAAATTTGAAGCAACCTGTGTTTTGATATATTCACATAAATAAGTCATAGCCCTTGAAGCTTCAAATTATTTATGTTCCAAAATAATAGTGAATATGTATCATTTAGAATTTATGTATTCTTTAAGACTATTCATTAGCATAGGCTGTTAGTGCAGTGGTTGAATATTTATTTAGAAAGGTCCTATAGTGATACAGTTAAGAAAACAGAATTTGAAGTCAGACTGTCTGAATCCTGGTTGCTTCATTTATTAGCTGTGAGGCCTTAGGTCATTTTCTTAACTTCTCTGAACTGCAGCCTCCTCAATATGGACACAAATAAATATTTAAATTCTTCAAACGGTGCCTGGTACCAACGGGAGGCCGTGGCAAGAGATAGAAGGGTGGGAGTGGGGAGAGGCTGGGCACTTATTTCCCGGCTTCCTCTCTGCAGGATTATGATTTGGCAATGGGTAACTTTCCGTACATTTACAGATCCTCTCTTATAGCTTCTCTGCAGACCTTTCTCTCGGCTCCAGCTCTCATTAGGATCTGTTACACCATTCCTTCTGCATAACCTTCTTCAGAACAGAGGTGGGTAAAAAGTCATAATGTTGCTGGTTTCCTTGTGATTCTAATCTTTTTCTTTGTTTATTTTTCTCATCCAGTCAAAACCTCTATAAAATATCTCTTTCATTAGTTTATCTTCAGTTATATCCTTTTGAGTATGATATATGTCTCCTGCTGGGAGGTGGACTGATACACAGAAAATACTTCATGTTTTTCATTGTGACAACTGTGGGCAGGATAAATTTCGGGGGGGGGAATATTTGCTTCAGAAAACTTAAAGGTAGTAAGTACAGGTATTTCAAAAATATTGAGTAGGAAAACATTTGAGAAATATTTAAATTTTTTAGTGTTGGTGATTGATGGAATGCAAATGACAAAGGATAGATTTCTATCCTAGCAAGTGACAGGGAGTTGACGGTGCCTATGACCAATATAACAGAATTTTAGCAAAGTTCCTAAATGCAAGAGCATAAATAAATTTACCAGAGAAAGCAATGGGCTAATTTTCTCCACATTGGGTTTGAGGTGTCTGTGAGACATATAGAGATGGTCCGCAGGCCTGGGATCCACATGCAAGCCCAAAGCCTGAGAAAGTGCTCTGAAATTTAGATGCAGCTTTGGGAATCATTAACTACAAATGGTGGTTGAAACTTTAGGAGTGGTATTAGGAAACACAGGCATTTAAGGATGGGCAGGCAAAAGGCGGCTAATGGGGGGAAAAAAGGAGGAGCAAGCAAAATATAACCAAAGACATTGAAATTGGGAACAAGCTGACAGTAACTAGAAGGGAAAGAGCAGGGGAGAATGGGGGAAAAGAGTGAAGGGTTTACAGGAACAACTATAAAGGACACATGGACTAAAATGGGGGGGTTGCAAACAGGGGAGGGAGGTGGGGAGAGCTGGGGTGGCGGGGAGGAGGGGGGAAAAGTTAGAAAACTGTACTTTAACAACAATAAAAATCAAAAGTATTAAAAAAAAAAAAGAGGGAGAGAAGAAATGGCCAAAGCTGTATAAGAACCAAAACAATGCACTCAACCCAAAGGCCAAGGGAATGAAAAGTTAGAAGGAGGAAGGAGTTACCAAGACTGTCAGTTGCAGAAATACCAAGTGACTGGAGTTGCTACTATAACACTATTTTATTAATACCACTGAAAAATAGCTATTGGTTTTGATACTTTTCTCAGACTTGTTATAGGTCCCAAACTAGAGCATATGCAAATTTTCTAGCACAGTGACTAGCACATTAAAGGCATTTGATATTTTTTTAATTTTTCTAAAAGCATTTACAAAAATTCATACAAAGTAAACAGTAAATATTGAATGTCAATTTTTAAAGTTAATAAGAAATTGTATGAATTTTATTATAATTCAAGATACCACTTTAACTTTGAAAAAGTCAAAACAGTGACCTAGAGAATAAAGATTTTACTACTTTAGATGAGCATATGGCCAAGGTAAGCAACCATCCACAGGCTACAGACTTCTCAATCAAGTCTGGGTCTTACTAGGTAAAACTGGGTCCTTAATGGTAGCAGCTGAAGTTGAGAAGGATTCTAACAAACAATAAGTGATAAACTTTTTATAGTAAAGTATATAAGTCATGGGCATGAAAATTTCTCCAAATATACAATGAATCTAATTTTTGAGACTCTTTTTTAACATTATGGGACAAGAAATACTGACAGTAATATCTATAGGGCTGTTGTAATCTGTGCACACTTGAAAATTTTTTTTTTACCTTTTGATGTAAACCTAACTGGCACATGTCTTCCTTGGATATGCAGAGTTTTCCACCAGCTTTCCTAGAAGACAGGCAAATGAGCAGATCCCAAGAGCCCAACTCACCTAATAGCAAAAGAGCATAAAAAAAAATTATCAGACTTTTTAAAGGCAGTGTTTACTTTTTCAGGTTAGAGAATGTAATTACTTCAATCCTAGAACACAAGTAACAATGATCCTAAATAAAAGTTAATATTCAAAATAACTAAAATTAAACTTTTCTGATTTAGTAGACCTAACACTTTTATATTTAGTATTGTATCATAGGGAAATATGAATTATCTGAAGCAATATCATAAAATTCCTTTAAAAACCATAATTAGAATGTTTAAATAACTAACAATAAATTTGTAGTCTTATTTGGAGATTGGGAGGAAAAAAGATTATAAAGCTTGTAAGATTAGACATAGTTGCAAAATAAAATAATGATAAGAAGTCAAAATGCTGAATTTTTTTGTTCTGGCCTTCACTAATACCATTACTTTTCATAGATCTCTAACATCAAATATACTTTTACAAGATTTCTTACCAACAAAAATTGCAGTAGGCAGAAAATAAAATTCAATGAAAATTTTAAAAGATTTTGTCCAAAATGAATTTGTGGGTCTAGTTAAACATAGCACAAAGTTAGTTTAAAATACAGAGTATAACATGGACCAATGAAAATAATATTTCAATTATTTCACTAAGGACAAAGCTCTTTGCCAACAAATCTTAGTAACATGCCAAAATAATCTCAGGAGAGTACATTCTTGTATAATAATTGAGTGTTTAAAAATTAATATTTGCATATATTTCACTTATTCTTTTTTATTTATTTATACAAATTTTATCAACATGCCTTGCATAAAATTGGTACTTTAAAAATATTTGTCAAATGGATGAATGAATAAGTAGCCCATGACAGGGTGGCAAACATACTTCAGAGAGGATATACAAATATTTACCACAAAAATAACAAAAAAGTTATGAATAAAAGAATTGATATTGGGAAACTTCCCAATTTTGGATAGAAATCAAGTTTAAAAAATTAAGCAATTTCTATACTCGTAATCTTTTGTTGACTTCTCATGAGATACTCTTCCTTCAAGTCACTATTTACACCAGACCTTCCAAGTCACCTCCTACATTAGGTATTAGTGGTCTCTAAAAGGGAGAAATAACCAACATCTCCAAATACCATCTTTTAAAATTTTCTCAGAAGAATTTCTCACTTGAGAGCATAACATTTCCAAAGAAGGGCTTTATAGAAAAAAAAAGATTAATAAGAAAGAGTGAACTGTGACAATTAGGAATGAAGTTTCACTCTTCCCCAATCAAGTTTTTTATAATTTGACAAGCTCTGTGCTGCCTGGGCTATTGGTTCCTCTGTTTGTCATTGTTCTGTTTCTAGAATAGAAATCTCTTCTCTGCCAAACAAAAGGATCCAGGAAACTGAACTCCACTTAACATCTGAGCTCTTGTCCTAGAGCTTCTCTGTTTGCTGTGTATCCCAAGATGGTGAAAGATCATACACTAGTTCAAAGGGACAAGGAGAAATGGTACAGGTGATTTGGGGGTGGGAGAAATCTCTCCATGTAACTGCCATCAAACCTTGGACTTGAAGTATCTACCCTGTTCTACACACCCTGACATTGAAGGAAATTACAGATTCCATTAGCCCAATCCAAATACTCTGATAATTCCAATATTTAATTTTAAATGTGCACCTCTCATTTTTAGCCCAACCTAGTGATATGGATTCAAAAGGAAAACTATAAAGAGAATTTCACTCAATATTGTTTTATTTCTAGCCCAGGAAATACTACAACCCTAGAAGAAACCTTCTGTCATAATATACTCAACTTAATATTTTAAGAATATAAGGTGGTACATTTACATAATGAAATACTATGCAGTAGAAAGAAAGAAGTCCTACCTTTTGCAACAGCATGGATGGAACTGGAGAGTATCATGCTAAGTGAAATAAGCCAATCAGTGAAAAACAAATACTATATAGCCTCACTTATAACTGGAATCTAATGAACAAAATAAACTAATGAGAAAAATAAAACCAGAGACATGGAAACATGAAACATACTAATGGCTATAGGAGGAAAGAAGAGAGGGAAATAGTGGTGGAAAAAAGGGGAACGAACTAGTCAAAGAGCATGTATGAATGACCCATGGACATGAACAACAGAGAGGGGATTGACTGTGGGTGAGAGGGGTGGGCTGGGTGGAAGGAGGCAAGAGGGAAAAAATGAGACAAATTTAATAGAATAAACAATAACTTTTTAAGATAAAAGCACACAAACAGACTATTTCAAATTTTAAACTGTATTGTTTGGGTATTAAAAACAGAGTACATTTTTTATATTCCTCCAAGTCCTAGGCATGGCCCCCTTCACTACCCAGGGCATACATACAATGTCTGGATTTTATGGGAAAAAAATTAAGCAATAAATGTTTAAAACTGAAAGATACCCAGTTAAATAATTCAAAGCACCCAATTTATCAAGAATCTATAATAAGCAGAATATTGTACTAGAAATATGAAGGTAAATAGCAAAAAGAAAGAACATAGTCACTGCCTTCAGGAGTCTATATGAGGGATGTAAACATGAAAAAGAATTCAGGATAACTTATAAAGCATTGCAGTTTTTTGACATTTTCACAGGTTACCATCATCTCTCAAGGATATTTAATTAATATTTAGTATTCTAAATTAACAGTTTAAAAATACTTTATAGTACACAAATTTCTCTTTAAAATGAAATAAAGTAAAACTGGAATTTTTAAGTCATCTCTTTATAGTGACTTCTTACCTAATTTTTGCTACCATGGTCTGAAAAAGTACTGATTGTTTCCACTCAAAATTCTTATTATTACCTTCATCAAATTCTACCTCAAACTATTTTTCAGTTAAAAGTTAAATATTTAGTTGTCCTTTTCACTTTCTTTTCATTTCTTTCTCCAACATTAGAAGTCAATTACCTTTCCTAACTCCCACAACCCTTTCTGACAGTAAAAACTGTTTAATAAGTGATACTGGGTATTCAAACTTAATTTTTAAAACCCCAAAAGCCACACGGAATTATAAAAACCAGGCAGAAAGCAAAGCACTAGCTAAGTAAATCTCATTTAGAAGTCAACCTTGGAGCATTGGGGATACAAATTTTTGCCTCAGCAAAATTACAAATGAATGGACATGTGGAGCTTCGGGGCATGCTCACTAAGCTGGCAGCACAAGACTGGATCTGCACATGCCCAGCATGCACAGCCTGACTACAGACTGCAGGTGCTTAGGGAGAGTCAAGCCCATGTGTAGGATGCATTTGGCCTGCACAGTGTTTGTTTTCATTTTGTTTAAAATTCAAGTATTAGTCAAAATACAAATATCAGCACAATTCACATAAAACTCCAGATTTCAGCCTTCATTGGAAAATTGGGAAGCTCTAATAATATCTGGGTCCATCCCTGTCTGGCGTAGCTCAGTGGATTGAGCGTGGGCCTGCGAACCAGAGTATCGTGGTTCCATTCCCAGTCAGGGCACATGACTGGGTTTCAGGCCAGTTCCCAGCAGGGGATGCATGAGAGGCAATCATACATTGATATTTCTCTCCCACTCTTTCTCCTCTCTTGAAAAATAAGTAACTAAATACAAATTTTAAAAAAATACCTGGTCCATGCCCTACATGGCAGCCACTAACTGGAGCTAAGTACAACTGCCCACACGTTCTTCTGTTTACCGCGCTGGTCCTGCCTGGTCCTAGTGCTGCCTGGCGGGCTCTGTCTCTAGCAGCAGAAAACAGTGCTGGACCTGATGTAAAATACTAGTGTGTCAGTGTTGCACTAATTGCTCTTCAGCAAGTTGATGCTCCATGTTTTAGCTTTTAATGAATTTACACTCTTCATTATGTAAATTAATTTTGATGATGTCAGTCAAATTGATATTTGGTCAGTTGGTCTTAAAAGGATGTCTGAGTATGACCTTTGATTTCCAGACTTGGCCATGCTCTCCCACAATGTTGAATAAGGTCACCTCAACTCTAAAGACATTTCACTGGCTGTATTGAAGTTAGAAAGAACTCACATGTGACTTACTAAGAGTCATCTTTCTCTAAGGAGCCTAGAAAAGGCAAGAGTGGCCTGTGACCCTCTTTCCAACTTACATCTTTTTCTCCGGTTGAATTTGCTAAAGTGGCTCCAGTCCCACTTCAAGACCGGTCCACCCTCATCTTTTTCTTACACTCTGTTCTTGGACTCTTTTCCACATACAACCTGCCTCAGTCTATGGCAACAGTTATAAATGACCTATGCCAGGCTTTTTCTAAGTGTTGGGACAAACATTCTTAGAGTTCATCTTACTTGGTGTGGTTCTTCTGCCCCCAGAAGGTTGACATTAGAGTGTAAGAGCTGAGAAATCAGGTGTGGATTTGGGAAAAAAACAGGCAAAGCAGACCAGAAAGGCTAAAGAACTGGTTAGAGGTGAGAAGAGAATTTAAATACAGGAAGTCTAGTTCTAGGAGCCATGTTTGAGACTATGACATCATTACCCCTTCAAAAAACAAGGAGGCAACAGAGAAAGGTATAACAACTTAGCTTTTGATGCCTTATATATTAACCTACACAGAACTTCCAACAACACCAGGGGTAGAAACAATTATTATATATACTTTATAAAATAGGAGACTGAAACAAAAAAGAACTATTTAGCTTTGGTATTTTCCAAATACTACCCCATGCATCTATTTTCCACTGGGACCTTGGAGAAAAAAAAATACTGTAACAGGGATAACTCAGGTGTTACGAGACTCTCATCCAGCAATGGCACACTGCAAAACATTATTGGTGATACCATGAGTAAGTGAAGTAAAATTTTCATATGTAAAACAGGCAGTATCCAACTGCACAAGTAGTCAGAAACTAGACATATTAACTTGGCCTCCACCTACTTTTGAAAAGAAATCTCTAAAATTTGCTTTGATTTTTTGATGGTGCAAAGAGTTTCTTTCCCAAAGAAACCAGAACAAGACTAGCCCCCAAGACTCAGTTAATCAAGCCCTTAAATGAAGAGGTCATGG